AAAGACATTTCCTCTTCCAACTAAAGTAGTGGTTATTTAATTACAATTCATTCAAAGATTTTCTCTACCAACTAAAGTAGTGGTTGTTTAATTCTCCTTCAAAACATTATACAAAACATCACAAAATTGAGTTACTTTGCTCAATTTAAGTGTTACCACAAAAAATTAAAGAATTAATCGTATAGAATGAAAAAATTTAATTTAAATAGAAAAATTTTTCATGTATAATAAAAACACTTGGCGCTGCTAGATCGAGTAAGAAAAACATACACATATACCATATATACATGCTAGATACTTTGACTCTCATTGGGGATGCTTTTTTCTTATTTTTCTAGATATTCATATTTTTTAATATGTGATTCTGACTTTTCTTATTAATATTGTGGTATAATTATTTTGTTTGGCGATATGCAATCAGAATTGCCTGCGAGATAGTTTAATTTCTTTTGAGGAAAGCGACGGCATCGGTGTCGCGTTTGATGTTCGCGGCGGTATCGCGAAATGCGCCGTCTGTGATACGATCCGGCGCGAAAGCCGGCGACGCAAGGATTATTTTCAATAGCGCGCCGCGGCTTTGAGGCCGATTCGACGACTGCGATAAGTTTTTTGATTTTACCGAACTTACGTGTGGAAAGGAGTTCCCCCAGTCAGTCTTAAGCAGAGAGCCAAAGAGGACACATCGCGAATGCGTCCCGCTTGTTGTAATATATCGCATATATTAAAGATTATAACTGAGAAATCTTGCTTGTTATCTCCATCCGACTTGATCGTCTAATACCCATCCTATCAACCATTTTTCCGTGTATTAACATCCTGCAATATGCTTCTTATTTATGTTATTTTTCTAAGTATTATATTCTTATTTTTATTTACATTCATGTTTTACTACTATACTACCATGTTATTATATCGAGATCTAGCAGCGCCAAGTGTTTTTACATGAAAAATTTTTCTATTTAGATTAAATTTTTTCATTTTATACGGTTAATTCTTTAATTTTTTTGTGGTAACATTTAAATTGAGCAAGGTAACGCAATTTTGTGATGTTTTGTATAATGTTTTGAAGGAGAATTAAATAACCACTACTTTAGTTGGTAGAGAAAATCTTTGAATGAATTGTGATATGATAATTTAAGAGGAATTTAAACCATTTGGATTGGAATAGGAAGATTCTTCAATAAGTATACTTTTAGGTTTCATTGTATAATATAAAAATTAAAGATAGTACCATTTGGATTAAGTAAATAATAAAGATAGTATCACTTAGGTTTTACTTTTTATTTTGTAGTAGAATTTAACTTGGCGCCACAATTGTTGATATTAAATCGTTTGTACAAATAATACATATTAGATTAATATTCATTATTTAATTTGGCTATCAAATCTTTTTTACGAATAATACATAAAATTTTGATAAATTTAATTATTATAAATTAACAGAATTTATCTTGGCGCCACAATTATTGATATCAAATCTTTTATACAGATGAAACATATGTATCATTAGATTTAGTAAATTTTGTGATATTAAATTAACAGAATTTAACTTGGCGCCACAATTGTTGATATCAAATCTTTTATACAGATGATACATATATCATTAGATTTAGTAAATTTTGTGATGATTTTCATGTAATAATTTTTGAAGGGGATTAAAGCCATTATAACTTGGGTTGGAATGTATCATATACAAAGAATTTCATCAAACAGCATTTTAAATTGGGCAAACCAACTGTACACACATTTTTGCGTTATTGCATCATTTCCATAAATTTGTTGTAACATTAAGTGCGTTTCCGATACCGTTTTACCCAATTTAAAACAAACTTGATATTAGCTCTTTATTCCATTTTCATTAACGAATATGTGCTCCTTCGTTACTAGTCTACACTTGAACATAGCCACGCGTCCGATAAGGCGAGCAACATACTGAAATGTGTTTCTAGATTCGCTAATCTATAACAAGTATGATGCCGCAACTTGCTGCATGCGTCTACAAAATGTATATAAAAATATTAACCGAATTTTATTGCCACACCGTGTATGTCGATAAAACTTAAAAATTGCGAATAATCTACTGCGAAAAATATTATTGGCCGGGGAATCGAATCCGGATCTTTCGCTTTTCGGGCAGGTATTCTCATAGTTAGACTATGGAGGCAAAAAGTCCGGAAAACATTTCGGCGTGTCATATGCACAATCGAAATGTATATAAATTCACACAAGGAATATATATTTAAGCACAAGTTCCGCTTCGACTAAATTTATGAGGTACTTCTTATTTAAAATTTGATTTTTTTTTATTTATTTTTTATTAATTATTATTTTTTATTAATTACTCATTCAAACAGAATGTAAACTAAGAAAAAAGCTAATAAGCAATCTTTTCCCTTAATTATAAATATTATGACCTGTAACAAATATTCAATTAATATAAGTGTAAAAATAGTTTGTGATTCCGTATTAAAATAAATCAAATATAAATAAAATGCCAATGTAAGTTTCCTCGATTGTTGATGCGTAAAATTTATAAAGAGATAAGATGCAATTAGCAAACAATTGGATGTACTTACAAGAGAAACCCTAGAAATGTTCATCCACAGTTTTTCAATGTCAATTTTTTTGATGATTCTTGAGGTCAAAAGAATATACATATCGCGGCTTTGTTTTTGAGTTATAAATTTTTGAAAATTCAAAAATTGAACAATTGCTCCTGGGAATTAGGTTCACATTCGAGGTTCGGCAACTTTTTTTTCTTACGTGAGAGTTAAATGTTAACATCTCTTTAATATTTCAAACACAAACAAGAAAAGCGTTTAATTATATCTTACAATATAATTATTTGTTTTGTCGATTTTCAATTTCACCCTCATAATTCCCACAAAAAATTTTTTTCAGATATAATATTTTGCGAAGTTCATTCTTACATCGCTGCTAACTTATGATAAAACATAATTGACCAGATAAATGCGGAGACAGCATACACATACGTATACCGGATACCCATATCACCCGCGTACCCGTATTACCCGGACCATATTAACCCGATACATATATTCGTATTCATTGACATAACCGTATTACCCATATGTTTTTTATTAGTATAGTGATGTATTCTGCGTTTTGTATTATACATACATATATATATATAAGATACAAATAAACAAGTAGAGACGATTTTTGCTGGATCTTGGTGCCTAATAATATTTTATATATGTATAATATTTCTAAATACAATTTTCAGATGATTGTGTTTCAAATCCGATAGTGAGAGATATGCAATTTAAGTATGAAAATTGTATTTAGAAATATTATACATATATAAAATATCATTATACAATATGCGGCGTCCAATTAAAAAAAATTGTATTTGGAAGCATATTACATATTACATTACATATATTATTTAGCCCCAAGAAAACCGTTTTAAAATTCTAAGGTCATTCTCCATTTATTTCTTTGTACATAAAACGGTCTAGTATAATTTCGATTGAAATAAATTATGTATTTAAAAAATTTTCTTCACTTATAAATAATATATACAGAGTGTATAAAAAGTCCCGGACCCCTTAAATACCTTGAAAAATAATCATTTTTGAGAAAAATGTTTTATACAAAAGTTGTAGGGTTGAAAATTATCTATTGACTGATCTTATCAATTTGACCTTGGATGGCGCCACCTAGGTCAAATCAAGGTCAAATCGATTTTTTTAAACGAAATACCCTATTTTTGATTTTAGAATCTAATAGCTGAGAGCGGAAGCTTTCCAAAAGACTATAATAAAGCATCTTTTTAATCAGTACTTTTCAAGTTATGAGAGTTGAAAGTTACGGAACCGCCGCGGCATTAGTATGACCTAAGCTAAGGTGCTCATATCCCTTTTAATGATGCGAGGATGGGGTGGTCATAGGAGGTCTTACGCAAGCGACAAGATTTTTTAATCAATCTTTTAGAAATAGAGACAACAGTATATCTAAATCAACTGTCATTCGTTTGAGCATTTATCATTCCTTTAACTCAGCTCACCTTACCTACCAGTTTTTACTTTCTCGGCTAGACCCCACCGGGATCTGAAACTTCATCAAGTTATATCTCTGAATAGAAAACATATTTTTAATTTATCACGTGCAAAATTGATATCTCTAGAGTAAGACAAGAACAAATAAACAAAGATGAAACAAAAAATATTTTATTCTTAAATTACATCATAAAAAGTTAAAGTCTGAATTGCAATGTGAAAAATCGCATTAGATACGTCATATCCTAGTATGGCGAGCCAGGGTTAAAAGAATATTACATATTATAGCAAATACTCAAATTGGCGTCCCTCCACAATCTGACAATGTGCTAGACGATTATAAAAACTTAAGACTGCATTTCTACAGAATTCGCAAGACATGATTCTAAATTCATTTATTATTTGTTGACGTAAATCATTAAGAATTCGAGATTTAGTATTATAAACTTTTCCCTTTAAATATCCCCACAAAAAGTAGTCGAGTGGATTTAGATCAGGCGATCGTGCTGGCCATTCAATGTAACTCTTTCTTCCTATCCACCTATTCGGAAAAACTTCATTCAGATATTGGCGTACTCGTAAACCATAGTGAGGTGGCGCCCCATCTTGCTGAAACCAAATGTCATTGAAGTTTTGACGAGCGATGTTTCGGATTGCCGAAACTATTTCATCTTGAAGCATGGCTAAGTAATTGTCAGTGTTTAAATTACCTTCAATAAAGAAAGGCCCAATAATAGCTTCATTTAAAATTCCAGCCCATACGTTGACTTTTTGCTGATTCTGAGTATGTGCCTCGTACATCCAATGAGGATTTTCATCGCTCCAATATCTACAATAATGTTGATTTATATTCCCGGTTAGCTCAAAGATAGCTTTATCTGAAAAATAATGTTGACTACAAATAAAAGATTTCTATCGACATTTAACATCATACTTTAGCAAAATTCAATGCGACAATCAAAATCATCTTCACATAGTTCCTGCGCCAGATGGATCTTATATGGATGAAATTTCTCCTTGTTTAGAATTTTATGAATTGACATAGGATCGATGTCGTGTTGTTGTGCAACTTTGCGAATTGAATTACGCGGATCTTCGATAAAAGATTGTAGAACATTCAATCTTTTATCAGGATTTGTCGCTATTGCTGGTCTATCTTGTCTATTACGGTCTTTTACAAAACCCGTTTCTTCAAAACGTTGTACAGTACGAATAACAGCCGATTTAGATATATCATTGTCCTCATTCTTAAAAGTTTGATTGAAGAGTTCTGTCACATGTGCGTAAGACCTCCTACGATCACCCCATCCTCGCATCATTAAAAGGGATATACACTCCCGTTCAGTAAACAGTATTTTAAATAAACAGCATTTTAAATACTTTATAAACAAAAAAGATAACTGAAGGAATGTAATATGCATGTTCATTTCTAAAATTTATTCTAACTTCTTTTAAATTAAATGGCCCTGAAAAGGACCGTTTAAATTTATAAATTATGTGGCCCTGAAAAGGGCCGTTTTTTAAAGGAAATCTAAATTAGTCTCTGTCTATAAGAGATGGAAGGTTTAGTCTTATTGAACTGCTTCGGTCCCTTTTGCGAATGAGATCTAGATGGTATAATCCTGGAGGTGAGCCTGGTGGTGTGTAACTCAGTGGTGTCCCTGGTGGTGTGAAAGATCTTTTCTTTGATGCAAAATCGTTCTGCATTTCCTTATTGGCTACCTCTGCTTTGCTCAGTGTCCCTCGATGAACTCTGGGAACTGGCTGAGTCTGCGTTGCCTTCGAGAAGAAGTCGCTTGGAGATCTTAGCAACGGAGACAGGAGCGGTACTGGTACTGATAGTACTGGATAGCTTGGAGAGAGAGATCTTCTAACCCTCGGATCGTTTCTCGCTAGAAGGAAACTTGGAGGCCTTGTGAGAACTGACAACGACTTCTCTACCTTATATAGCTGCCAGGTAACTATAGAGGAAGTTGATTCTCCTGGTTGCTCGGTTACTACTAGATGCCTTGGTACTGCAGCTTCATGAGTCTGCAATCGCTCGTCGGATCTCGCTGACGAAAATTTCTTCCACCAGGGAATGATCCGTTGTCGATGTGAGGAAGACTCCACGGTTACACCCCAAAAATATGATGCTCTTGCTGTATGTCGCAATAGTCGAAATCGAGCCGTTGCTCATGCCCTTTTATAGCCGATCGGGATGTTTCCAAAATATGAGAAAATCTATCGAAATGCGTCTTCTATTAATCTCTTGAGAAATTAATTCTTTTCAAATCACTTCAAGTAGGTCTTGAAAAACAAATGCATTAGCATGAAGTTTGCTCCGTTCAAACGTGCGAAATTTATGTGGTATCAAATAGACATAATAACTATGTGGCGATAAGCAATCTCAGAACAGAGTATCACGAAAAAATATACCTTCTCAATCGCAGATCGAGTGAACTTGACATGAGAGATCTCTAGCTTATGTAGTCTCTAGCTTTGTTGAAAGGATGGGAAGGAGGAAGTGGTGAATGGAGTACGAGGGAAGGGGGGTAAGAAGGAAAAGGTAAGAGGGAGGACGAGATAGAGATACAGACATTTGCGGGCACATACATGACTCATAAATCCAGTCGGGCAATCTCTACGTAATACCTTAAATAATGCTAATGCCGGCGGTTTCGTAACTTTTAACTCTCATAACTTGAAAAGTACTGATTGAAAAGAGGCTTTATTATAGTCTTTTGGAAAGCTCCCGACCTCAGCTATTAGATTCTAAAATCAAAAATAGGTTGTTTCGTTTAAAAAAATCGATTTGACTTCGACTTGACCTTGGTGGCGCCATCCAAGGTCAAATTGATAAGGTCAGTCAATAGATCATTTTCAACCCTACAACTTTTGTATACATCATTTTTCTCAAAAATTATTACTTTTCAAGATATTTAAGGGGTCCGGGACTTTTCCTACACCCTGTATAATACCAGTACAAACTTTCGATACCGGTCCAGTACTGATATTCAGTACTGTCCCAGTACTGATTGCCAAAGCCCAGCCAAGTTATGTTTCGATACAATGCCAAGATCCAGTGAAGAGAGAAGAATATATTTTAATATGGAGCAAACGGAACGTAATTTGGTGGCGCAAGCTGCTCGATTGAATACGCGAGAAAACTACGTCATACAAAACTTGTCGCGTGGGAACAATGTTGCGATAATTTCATCGAGTCGCTGGAAGAGCAGAGTCGTGTTAAACGCTCGCGATTATCGATCGGCAATTGACAATCACTGATCACTCGTATCGCGCGGCTCGATAGTTTGAAGTATTCGATGCGCGGAAGATTCGTGCAAGTGAGTGTCGGGTACAGCGCGGGACTTCGGTGGCGTGAAATCGATATGGCGTTTGAAAGACGTATTCTTACCGGTGCCGTGATAAACTCTTGGCACATCAAACCTCGCCAGTTCCTTGTACCAGTTCCGCGAGAAATTAAAATGAAGAGAGCAATGGTTAACGCACAATCATTAGGCAAGGCATGCTTCGCGTGGTCAGTTGTAGCCACTTTATATCCAGCTAGAAGTAACACAGACCGAGAATTCTTGTATCCGCATTACTCTGCAGTGTTGAATCTTCAAGGCATTCAATTTCTAATGACGTTGAGTTAAATTAAAAGATTTGAAAATCTCAATGATATCTCAATCAACGTGTACAGCATCGAGAAGCAAAAAGAAATTCTTCCGTTACGGCTCACAGATACGGAGAGAGGCAAGCACATCAATCTGTTGTACATGCAGGATTCATGCAACGATAACGTAGCGCATTTCGCATGGATCAAGGATCTGTCCCGTCTTGTGAGTTCGCAACTCAGCAAAAAACAGCACAAGAAATACTTTTGCGACCGGTATGTATGTATTTAATAAATGAAACAAGAAATAAATTAAATTATAAATACTTTCAGTAACAGCAAAACGTAAAGAAATCAGGTCTATCGAACCAATATTGACCTGATCTTTTTACGCTTTGCTATTGTTTAATACAAGCGAAATCTATACTTTTACTTTTACTTTCAGTAATATTTTTTTGTAAAAATAATAATTTATATGTTATTTTTTAGATGCTTGCACTATTTTGGATCTAGCGCAAAGTTGAAGATGGAGTGAGGATTGGAAAAATAAATGACTGCGCGATCAGACTGCCCAGTAAAGACAAGTGGTTGTTGAGTTTCAGCAGCCACTGCAGGAAGGAGCGCGTCCCGTTCGTGATCTACGCCGACCTAGAATGTTCCTTGGAAAAGATGGACAGAGATCCGAATATGTCAACATTGTAACGATGCACCCCGTTAACGCATCGTTCCCGACAGGTCATCCGTCGGATGCCGCTGCACCCCGACATCAGGGGTAGCAGCGAGGAGGGCGCGGTGC